GGCCCTTCGTGGGTCCGCCCCTGTTCATGATGTCCATTAATTTGTTCATTTTATCCCTTGACGACCGGTTTCTGTCCAAAATGTTTATTAGGAGAGCATATAAAAATTTATCTGTTCATCATATTTTTAAATAAAACAAAAAATACAAGAGTGTGGCAGAATATTTGTCCCTCATTTCGATGCAAAGAGAATGTGATGTATGACGAGTTAGGAACACCATGCGATAATGAGTAAAAATTGGGAACCTTTAGTGTAATTATAAAGTAATGCTACAAAAGAAAAATGTGGTGTCGGTAGAATTATCCATTGAATTGAAGTGGATTCAAATTTATTGTTCTAAGTCGTTTAGACTCAGTAGTATTACCAAAACCTATTAAGTATCGAAATAATCATAATATTACCCATTGTATCACAATAGTTTGATTTGTTTAAGGTTGAATAACCACTCCATGCTAATCTGATGCAAGTATTAATTGAATCAAATACCATATTTTGAGGGTGTTTGGTGGAGANAAGGGTAAAAGTGGAAATCAAATATTTTTGATGATGATTAAAATTAGATTTTTAGTAGACTGTGATAGAAGTTTTTGAAATATATAGTTGAAAAGTTGTGGGACCCATGAAAGATGTGGTTAATATTGATTATTTAACTTTGACTTTAATTAAAATCAGATTTTAATCCGGACCAAGCATGGGCCTAATATGTTGCCATAAATGCATAGTTTTAGTGCTCGTTTGGTAAAGATTAAAATCCAATTAAAATTGAAAATACAGTCGTTATTGGGTCTCACTCGTCTAATAAAAGTCAACAATAATGACTACCTTTGCAATTTTAATCCGCTTTTAATCTCTACCGAACAGGTCCTCATACGAATAGTATAAACTAATTAATAAAGCTCACAAGCTTACTATCATATTGAATTAATTGAGAAAAGATTACCTTAATGTAAGATTAGTTCAATTTATTACCAGACATAGCTGTTATATGTCCGAAATGGGACGGCTTTGTCATTGGCCCCGAAAGTCAGATTTTTAGTAGATTTTGATAAAAGTTAATAAAATGTGTGATATCAAATCCCTATAATTTCTACATATAGAAATGTAAATATGTAGATTCAAGTCTTTTGTGTTGAAGTTTATTTATAATGTTGTTGGAGATTGAAAATTCCGGTCGATTTTGCAGGTTGCATATCCCATGCAAGTTTCGAGCCCGACAGATGCAAATACTCATCACAAATATAAAGAGTACAATTTTAATGTTTCCATGTTCTGGTCGCCCTATTTAGTAAAGACCGAAAAAACTGATCCGAACGATATAACTCGCCCTTTCAACTTATATCTTGATGAATATGATCAAAACTGGACTTCCCATATTGAAGATTTCGATTACGTGATCATCTCCGCCGGGCAATGGTTCTTCCGACCCACCTATTTCCACCTCAATCACAGCCTTGTTGGCTGCCTCTATTGCCCCGAGGCCAATGTCACCCACCTGGCATCATCTTTCAGCTGTCGACATGCATTTCGGACTGCATTTCATGCTATAAACAAAGCGAAAAATTTCAAAGGTATAACTTATCTTAGGACATTTGCACCCTCGCACTTTGAAGGTGGGGAGTGGGATAAAGGCGGAGATTGTACAAGGACGAGGCCTTTCCAGAGGAACGAAACTGTGTTGGATGATTTAAGTTCAGAGATGTATTCGATTCAACTTGAAGAGCTAAAGACAGCACAAGAAGAAGGACGAAGAGATAATAGGTCGAAATTTAGGTTGTTTGATGCAACGAAGCCTATGTTTTTGAGACCAGATGGGCACCCTAGCAAATATGGGCATTGGCCTGTACAGAATGTGACATTGGCTAATGATTGTGTGCATTGGTGTTTGCCTGGACCTATTGATTCTTTGAATGATTTCTTGCAAGAATTGTTGAAAAGGAAAATGCAAAATAATAAGAGATTGTTAAAATGAGATTTTGATTAGGCAGAAATTCAAGACTTAGAAAAAAATAAATAACAAAATAAAGATTTTCTTGATGATCTTCTCAAAAGTCTTTTGTTGCTAAGGAGTTCGTGTGACGTTTTACATTGTTTCCCTTTTTTTTGAAATATTTATGGAGAATTGCTGAAGAAAATCAACGATTACTGCGTACATTAGATTAAAAAATGCATTTTGAATAAAATGAAGCCCAAATATGGCCAGATAATTTTGGGGATTTCTGTACCTCATGGGCTACATCTACATTTGGCCCATTTCTAGAAATCAGATTTGACTTTTATAACTATGGAAGTTTAACGTTGGATTTTGACAAATAACCAAACGTTTGTATAATTTGCAAAAACCAGTCATAATTAAAGAAATAGTACAAGTTATAATGATATTCTATTACTTGAGATCGGGACTATGACCGACATTCATAGATTTTTTAAGTAACAAATATATGTTGTTAATCATTACCTAATATTGTGCAAAATGGTCATTTCTCTCACATTAATTTTCCTATCCAAGACACCGATCAGTAGAAACATCTCATTTTCAATTACAATCGAAATACTATTGGTGACTCCGACCATAGTGATTTGTCATATTCTATAACTATCAACCGAATTTATTTGATATTGGGTGCAGCCGATCAGAAACTTATCCGTCACAATCGAATAATATAAAGTAACTTTACATTGCAATTGTTTCTTTTCGCTAGACAAATTTCTTTTGTGACCTGCGGCTAGAGGTGTCAATCCGGGTGGTCCGGGCCTGGTCAGCCCTCCAACATATGAGCCCGGTAACGGTTCGCGTGAAAAAAAGCCCGTCCGCTACGGATTCCAAACCGGTTCCGAGTCAACCCACAAATTTTGAACTACAACTCAGGCCCGCCCATTGACTCATCCCGGTCGAGCCCATTCGGGTCACGGGTCGCGGTTTGTTCCGATTTAACCCCTATGATTGTATAAATAAAATTATAAACATATAAAATTTTTCATATTTATAGTAAAAAATATTTTTTTTGTTAAATGTAAAATAAGAATTGAACAAAATGATAAATTCATATTTATATCAAGAAATGTTTACATAGAATTCAAATTTAATGTTACATGAATTATTTATAACTTTGTAAAGTTAAATTTAATTTAAACAGATAACGACTAAATGCATTTCTAATTACTATTATTAAATATTTATAGTATAAGTATATCCCAATAATGTTGGCACCTACTTTTTTTCAATTTTTTTTTTTTACGGGGCCAGCAGGTTAACCGTGCCCGTGAAGGTGCAACCCGCGAAGCCTGCGGGTCACACCTCCTTGACCCGTGAACCACCCGCTTGGGTCACAGGTTGACTCGCGGTCCCAGGTCGATCCAAACTGATTTTCACGGGTCTGATCGGTCCTTTCGTCTTGATACCTCTACCTAGTGCATGTGTAACGTGGAAGTCCATATTTCATATTTAACCAATGGGGGAAAGTTGTACATTCCAAAAAAGTAGAAAACTTGTTCTACTTTTTCCAGAAACCATAAAATAGTCTAATCTCGATGTGTAGTTACAACCAATCCTTGACATCAAAATAATTTTTTAATCCATTAGAAGACTAAATTCTACTTACTTTAGTGGTTTAATTGCACATGGAGGCAGCTGGGCAAATCTTGTCAACTCTAAGATTAATTAATTGATTAATTAATTAATTAATTAAGTTGTTACGAACTAGTCCATTAATTTCAAGTAGCTATATTAAATTTTATTTTATTTAAACCTAATATTAGTATTACACCAAGCGTCCGTTTAATTGCAAATATGAAAATTGAGTGGAAAGAAATTTTTTTATAGGAAATTGATTTGTCTATAAATTATTTTATTGGGAATTGTAATTAATTGTGTTTAATTGATATAATTTTTTATGAAAAATGTTGAAAATTTGGTGTCCGTTTGACTTCGTTTTTTATGAAAATTATCAATTAAAGTAATAATGTTTTCTACCATTGGGTTTAGAATTTGTTCCAATTGTCAAAAAAAAAATTTTAAAAATAATCATACCGAATATCATTCGTCTGTCTTTGTTTTGTATGTAAATTGTCAATAAAAGTGAAAAAAAAAATTACCATTATGTCTAGAATTTTTTCCAATTGCAAAAAAAAAAAAAAAAAAAATTGGAAAAAATTTATCAATTGCCAAAAAAAAAACTGGAAAATATTTACCCACCAAAACATCAAGAATGTATTTTTCTCAAAAACATATGCTATTAAACGAACTAGAAAGATTAAAGAATTAAACCGTCTTATGTTCAGGAAAGTAATCTCTTTTCAGCTTGTTCTCATTGAATGAACATATTTTAATGCTTAGATATCAATTATGATTTCATGATCTATGTGACTCTAATTGTATTAATCGAGGCAGACAGCTTGAAACTTACGTCACTTGGAAACAGGAATTCTTTAATTATATAACTTTCACTTAAAGAATCAAATGTTAGAATAAATCAAGAAAATAATAAATAATTATCATTATTTTGTTTAGTGTAAAGGTAAAATCTCACGTCGATTGAGTGTGAAAATTAGTAAAAATAATTTTAGTTACCACGTTTTAACTTTGTAAAATGGAATCTTAAAAGTCAATATGTTTTTGAACAAGCAATTTTCGACGGGTCTAATTCGACGAGGAGTCAATTTCTATATTGATATTTTTTGACAAGTCATATTCATATTTTAAGATAGGACATATAGCACTTAGCCCCTATTTAGTCCACGTTTGGCCCCCTATTAAAATTATAATTCATTTTCACTATTTTTATCAACCACACATTATATTATTCCAAAAATTATAATCTCAAATAACGGGGGCCAAACGAGGATCTTAATAAATTTATAAATTGTTTTATAAAGAGAAATAATAACGGATCCTACTTCGTTCCTTCGGGGACCTCCGATATACTTCCACTTAATTAATTAATCAAGAAAAGAAATTTAATTTTCCATTTTCAATTCTAATTATTTCTGTAGTAAGTATTCGATAAATAAATATTATTATATAGTTTAATAATGTAGGGTCGTGCATGAATATGACTAATTTTTCTTTTTTCCAATAATTTTCAACCAAATCCATCGACTAATATATCATCAACTTGTTTGGCACTTTCAGCCAGATCTCTTTTTCGTGCCTTCACCCTCCTTCCTCGTCCAGTCTTTCTTGAGCTTCATGAGACTCAAATCCATGGAGTTTCCCTTACGAAATAATAGACAAAATATTATAAACAAAAAGAATATTTCTATACTAATAGCCATAACATTAATTCTCTTCACCATTGTTCGTCTAAGTTATCCATTCTTGAAGTACTCCTCCAAGAACCCCGAAGAAATTTATCCTCCATACCACGCAGAAGATGAATCCATAAAGATTAAGGATCAAGATTATGAAAAGTGTGATATTTCTACTGGCGAATGGGTTCCGAATCCCGAGGCGCCGTACTACACGAACAAGACTTGTTGGGCAATCCATGAGCACCAGAACTGCATGAAATACGGAAGGCCGGATAGAGATTTCATGAAATGGAAGTGGAAACCGGATGGATGTGATTTGCCTGTTTTCAATCCTTATCAGTTTCTGGATATTGTTAGGGGCAAATCCTTGGCTTTTATCGGAGACTCTGTTGGGAGGAACCAAATGCAGTCCTTGATATGCCTCTTATCCAGGGTAATTATATTTTTATTTTCTTTTCATGTTCATAAGTAATTAAATACCCTAATATATAGTATTTTCAAGACCATTTAGAAATTAAACTTCTTTTTTCTTTTTGGGTGTGGGGCTCTGTAGATTGAAGTCATTGGCTTGTAGATAATTGGTTGCTTACAACTTACTCTTATTGGCTTGCTACTTTAACTTCATCTAAGGCTAATTTTTATCATATGATTAATTATTACTACTTTACCTTTGAGTGAAAATGTTAATCTTCTCTCTCTCTCTCTCTCTCTCTCTCTCTCTCTCTCAATTTCCAGAGATTAGATCAAGGTTAGTTTACCTAAGAATTAATGATAGAATCTGAAATAAAAAATCTTCCCAGGGTTAGGTGTATTTTGGTAGAAAGTGATACTTTTCTTGTAGTGAGAGTAGCGAAATTGTTCTCTTGTCAACAACGGGAGAATTCTACTTACGGTTCTTTCCAAGTATGAGAATTGTAAGTACAGTTCTCTACAAGTGAGTAAGATAAGATTTTCCAATACGGGCTGAAGAACATTTCTCGTGAGAGTTATAGTATGTGAAAATTTTAGCATTGTGCTTGAGCGTACAAGGGTAGAACACAAAACACTTTCATTTAATTCGAAAATATTAGCAGATTGGATTCCATAATATACTATAAATTAAATAGCAAATGAAATTACTAATGGATTAGTTACATTTTCATTTTCAGTATGTCAACTGTGAGTGGCCTTGATGATGACTTAATGTAGCAAATTAATTTATTAATTAACGTAAAGCTGTACGCTTAATTTTAAATAAATTGTTTCTTGAAAACGACCCCTAAAATAAAAAATAAAAAAAAAACAATGTAATTGCTGGAACAGTACCAAAGATCAAAGGTGGGGTTAACATGTAACGTGCACACATATGAAAAGATGTTGGCATCTTAAAAAATTTCCTTTTAATAAATAAATAAATTTTAATACATTATGACATATTGGATCGATCTGAATAATTATTTTTTTCCCAGAATATTTAATTATATATGTGTGTTTAAAATAATAATTACTAGGAGAAGGTGACAAAGTAGAGAGAATCTTAAAGGTGGGAACTTGAGTTCTTGGGCAATTTGTAGATCTAGAAATTTTAAATGGATTATTGTCGTTTTATAGATTTGGTCACTAACCCTTTACCCAACACACGACCATGCTTCCTTCTATCTTCTCTAGGATTAAGGGCGTGTTCGGTAGAAATTAAAATCGGATTAAAATTGAAAAACTAGCCGTTATTATTGACTTTTATTAGACGAGAATGATCATATTTTCAATTTTAATTGGATTTTAATCACTACCAAACATTATTATTCATTTCATTCTCTTCATTGAAATCAAGCACTATGTCTATGTCTATGTCTATGTCTATGTCCTACCTAAGTGGTGTAATTCTTAAACTTTATATGAAACCTCAATATTCTGTAACTTACTAGGAAAAGCCAAACAATGCATGTGCTGGAAAATGTTCATAAAAATCAGATAAATCATGGGGACCGTTTAGTTTTGAGATATTTCTAAATTATGTGTGGAATTATATGCTTGTTGTCTAGCTAATTTGTTGTCTATGCATTACATTATGTTCTAACGACCGAAAGAGAAAGGAATAAAGACCTTACGTACAATTGTCATCTTTCATTTTGTCTAACTACTTTACTCTATAGAGCATATCTAAAGTTAAAAAGCAATTATTTAATTTTGATATTCTTGTGTTTCAAATTATTCGTAATAGTTATATATTCTTAACTTGTTTAGTATGTTCAAGAATTTTGCATAATGTTTTCAACCCCTCCTTTTTTTGTTAGGTTGAATATCCGATCGATGTGTCGTATACTCCGGACGAGCATTTTAAACGTTGGAGCTACGTGAGTTACAACTTCACCCTTGCCCACTATTGGACACCTTTTTTGGTGAAAGCTAAAGAGGAAGACCCTAATGGTCCAACCCATACGGGCTTATTCAATCTCTACCTAGACGAGTTTGACGAGTCCTGGACTAACCATATAGATGAATTCGACTATATTGTCCTCAATGCGGGTCACTGGTTTTACCGGCCAGCCATGTACTACGAGAAAGGACGCATTGTGGGTTGTCGCTTCTGCCAAATTCCAAATATCACGGACTTTCCGAAGACTTACGGCTTCCGGAGGGCATTCAAAACAGCTTTTAAGGCTATAAACAGTTTAGAAAACTTCAAGGGGATAACATTTTTAAGGACCTTTGCACCATCCCACTTCGAAAATGGGTTGTGGAATCAAGGTGGGAATTGTGTAAGACAGAGGCCATTTAGAAGCAATGAGACACTTATGGAAGGTGAAAATTTGGATCTTTATATGACTCAAATGGAAGAATATAGGGTTGCAGAAAGAGAAGGGAAGAAGAAGGGATTCAGATTCAGATTAATTGATACAACACAGGCTATGTTGTTGAGGCCAGATGGGCACCCTAGTAGATATGGGCATTGGCCACATGAGAATGTGACTTTGTATAATGATTGTGTGCATTGGTGTTTGCCTGGACCAATTGATTCTTGGAGTGATTTCTTGCTTCATTTGTTGAAGATGGAAGGCTGGAGATCACACAAAGAGAGAAATTCTCTAGCATGACCATAAAGAGATGAAAGATTTTTCTCTCTTATATTTTGAAGTGTATTCTTTTGATTAATAATGGTTATGCATATGTTTAAAAGTTAATTTTAATGTTCAGTTAAATTCAAATTCAAATTCAAACTTTAACTTATATTACACATTCAAAAATACTGATCATTATTATTCACGCATTTTATGATTCCCACCATGATTCCTCTTAAAAAGTTTCTAAAAAAATTACTAATAATCTTTCCCGATTCTATATTTGCAATGTATTTAGTTAAATATATTGCCTTAATATAACCAACCTCGCACATCCAAATAAATCTTTTTAGTCAATCCCTACAACCTATTCATTTTTATAATAGGCTTCTATCTTCGTTCTCCCTCAATGGGAACTCAGCCATTCTTTCAAAGATATATTAGAGGTTGTTCTCTTTATGTTTCAATTTTGTGTTTTGAGTTTTGAAATCATTTTGAATTTTGTGTTTTATGTGTCCATTTTGAGATTGTTGAAAATGTGTTCTTTTTGACATTTTGAAAATTGTTTTCAAAATTAAAAAAATGGAAAACTCATTTACTCTCTCTCTCTCTCTCTCTCTCTCTCTCTCTCTCTCTCGGTGGTGGTTGGCGACGATTGAAAACACCCAAAATGCGTTTTGAAAACTTTGGGTTTTCTTTGTAAATTTTTAACTTTTTTCAAAATAAGAAAGAGAACGCGTTTTCACAATTTTGAAAAATTGAAAACAAAAAAAGACTTGAAAACGGTAAAGAGAACAGACCCTTATTTTCCTACAGTCGCTTTTCTTTTCTTTAATAACTTTAAGGTCTTGAGTCGTAAGAACTCGTTGAGGCCCCTATCCCACTATATTCAATAGAAACCATAAGCTCTTCACAAAGGGTTCTTTCAAATAATTAAGAAACTCGTTGAAAAGTAATCAAAACATCTGGAATGACGACTATTGTTAACTAACCTTAAAGGGACAAAAATACTTTTCAATGATCTTTCTATGGTCTGTCAAAGGGTACGGTACTTGAGAAATTTTAGCTAAGCTGTCTTAGGCTTCAACCTTCCTTTTGTAATTTAAGCCCAAAAATCTATGAACTAGTTCATGGTTGACTTTACATACACAGGGATATACATTCGTGTTAGAAATTTTCTTATGTAAATTTAATACATAATTTATCACTTCATTTAACTTCCATGACCATTAATATTCTTAATACGTACACAAGCCACAAATTCTTACAATTTTCATATTATGACTAAAAATGGTGGAAGAAAGTAGCAACCAAGTCGTGAATAAAAGTAAAGTTCAAAAGGACAAATGAATCGAAAAAGTATTGATTAATTTTTCAAACAAAATTCTAATTAAATTATCATGAACTCTATATTATTATAGTTCGAAATTAAGTAGTTTTAGAGCAACATCAGATGGATGCGAAAATAATTTAAACTTAGAAAAATAAAAAAATAAACCGAGTGCAAGTACAAGACATGGGGATTTTAACTTGGTTATGCAGCCACACCAATATTTTTCATCCTCACGAAAGAAAAGGAATACATAGAGACAAATTTTCTATTTTGTTTTTCACTCGCTCTACACTATAGTTTTTCACTCTTACAAATTTCATCTGCTACTAGACATGGATCCGCCAAATCTGCTGTGTGAGTATCTCCTTTTTGACAATTTGTACACATTTCGTGTGAAGTTCTATTTTACATTTAATGGCCGTTCTAAATTAGGTCTGCAATCATATGAATGCAAAGTTTTCTTGCTGACAAAACCATGCAAATTCATTCATAGTACTACTTGCATTTATAAAAAGGTTGAACTTCAAACTTGAGGGTACCCTACCGTCCTATCCTTAGAGCATTATAGAGGAGGTAAATCTGTCTCAACAGATCAGGGTATAAGAGCACTGGTGCCCACAAAGATTCTAATTTCATACCTTGAAAGAGGCAAGAATCAAACCCTCACACTGCAGCTGCCAGCTCAGTTGAGACTACTTCACTCTTGTCTTTTGCACCACTGAACTATGCCCCGGAGGGTACTACTAGTACTTGCATTTATAGGCTCCACTGAATAGTGGTTTTCACTAAGTTATGGGAATTTGAAAACCAAATATTACTTTTCAAAAGTCCCTATTTGATTTAGCTAAAAATCATATTTTCAGTAGATTTTGATAAAAATTCATCAAATATGTGGTAGACAAATTTATAAAAATCGTGATCTCATAAAATATGTGGTCAGCAATAAATTCAAAGAAAAATGAGTTATAAAAAATGCGAACCTAAAAGCCAAACAGGGATTAAAGGATTACAACTCAGTTCCTGATCTGAACTGTTTGACCTTCAGAACTGACATTTGACTTGCTTCTTTTCGAAGATGAGAAATGAGCTTGCTAGATTTATGGCCAGTGCTGTAATTTTCTCAAGGATTTATTATAAGTCTTGTAAGCGAGTCATTTTGGTCCAGGATTGTTGTTTTCACGACAAGGTCGGGAGTTGGTAATAGCAGGAAAAAAAGGGAGTTGAAGTGGGCCTTGAAGAGTTAATAGTCAAAATGTAAGTAAATCATTTTGTAGATTAATTGAAGTGGGCCTTGAAATTCGACAAGAGAGAGTGTTGAAGTCGCAGAGGCAAGTGAAGAGTTTTGCCGTGTTAAATTGCGTGTGTGTGAAAGAGCACGATACACGACAGGAAGTGACATGATAAGGACCAAAAATTAAGGCCTTATTTTTTTCCTTGGAAGCTTAGTTTTAGTTTTTTCTGTTAATAAATTTATAAATCCAAAATTAGCGCCAATAAAGGAAAAAATTAAGATTAATTTAAAAGTTTAGTAATTATCCTGAATTATTCGCTCAATTAAGTTTTCATCCCGCGGAGGCTATACACCAAGAATTTAAATTTTAGTAATTATAATTTATTAATAGGGATATTTTATTTTAAAGAGAAATATATACTATTATACGACTCTTGACCATGGCCTTTGTTGGATATTCTTTGGCAAGGAACCTCATGCAATCCTTGATGTGCCTCTTATCAATGGTAAATGGGTAATTATACATTTAACTATGTAATTATTTTCTCAATTTTACGAATAAGTACTCACCGTATAGGCTTTGGCGACAAATTCAACTTTGTCTAAGGACAATGAGAAGCATCTTACCTATCATATGCATGGGCGAATACACTTGGGCCCGCCAAATTTCTAGATGGTGGTGACAGTGAGGGTGATGGTGGTAGGGGCTCTGGGGACCTTGGTGGGGGATACCATTTGGCCGGATACTAGTGGTGCTCGTGATGTTGGTGTGGTGGTGGGTTACGGTAGTGGTACGGGTCCTAATGGTGGTGATACAGGTGGTGGTAGACTTGGCGGTGGCGATGATATGTTAGTTTTGATTTTTGTTGTTGGGAGTGATGGTTGTTGTTTCCGTATTTTGGTGGTGTTGGGGGTTTAGAGTGATTTTTGTTGATGGTTTGTTGATGGTGCAGGTGGAGACGGTGGTTGCGGTAGCGATGGTGCTGCGGATGTGAGTGGGATAGCGTGGGTTGAGAGTGTTTGTAACCAATTATTTGGTTGATTGTGATCAATAAATTGGTTCATTTGCGACCAATAATAATATGTAAATAATTATTTGAGATTGTGACTAATAAATTAGATATTTTGTAGTCAATAAATAATATGTAACCTAAAAATTTAAGTCGTAACTTATAAAATTTGTAACAATAAATAAATTGTTACTTCAAATTTTTTTGTGTGACCAACGAATAAATTGTAACCTATAAAATTTTTTATTTTTGACCGTGAAATAATTCGTGACCTATAAAATTTTTAATTCGTGACCAAAAAATAATTTGTAACCAATAGTATAGAAATCTGACCTTAATATATTAAATTAATAAAATATATTTTTAATTAATTATTTCATAAATAAGATTTATTTAATATCTAATTTTTAAAATAATAAATTTTGTTTTTTAATTTTGAAATGGGTCAAACTTAATCTCTTAAATTTGGAATTTTCCCTTTTATATATACTTTTTATTCATTTTTCTCATTTGCATTAATTTTTGTTCACCAACTCTTTCCAGCCTCTACCCACTCTTCTCCCTATACAATAGGTTTTTCATTTTTAATAACTAATTTTTATTTTTCCCTCGAGAAAATTACAAATAAAGATCAAATTATTGTCAATACCATGAGGTTAGGTTAAACTTATAAAGAACAATTCAAGAAAACGAGTGATAATGGATTGGATTCTGTGTTGAAAACAGTTTTTAGAGCTATAAATATTGTAGAAAACTACAAGAACTCTGCTACATGAACCGCAGGGATGATCGCGCCGGTGACCGCACACACACATGGGGTGGTTGGGATTATTTTGTTCGGGTGGGACCCGCGCCTTGGCTGTGAGGGCGCGGTCATCCATGCGGGTCGTCTAGCATTTTTCAAACTACAAAGGGACAACATTTTTTTAAGGACATTTTCACCATAACATGTTTATTTCCACTAAAACAAATGTTGCTTTCTTAGTCATTTCTTCTTCTTCTTTTCACGATAATTGTCAATGTCTAATTATCAAACAAAGAAGAAAAAGCCAACTAAACATTATGAGAAGCACGTGGGGGTTAGTATATCATATAATTATAAAACAATTTTTATTTCAAACAGTTTCAATACAAACAAACAGAGCCGGATAAAATCACCTGCAAGTTGCCAATTAGTGCTCATGACGAGCCAAAAATGTATTATGGAAAATCAAGGATATTATTTTCTCAATTCTACCTGTAATGAAAAATGTTCCATTATGATGTCTCCCTCGCATTGCAATTCAAATGAAGAAATATAACTGTTTAAATGCAATTGCATGGTATTCATTTTCACACTTCTCATCATACCGTACTCGAGATGTATGTATATATTACTAGATTCATATAATGCATCATCACATAGTCAAACCTAGGGATGACAAAATGGTTCGTCGGCTCGGGCCACCAGTGGCTAGAGGCTCGGGCCGAGCCCCATTTTGGCCCGTTTTCGGTTCGGACGAGCCGAGCCCGTTTAAAAAAACAAATTGAAAACAACGGCTATAGCATGTAGGAAGAAAAAAAATGAAACAAGCCTACACGTTTTGGCTGAGTTTTGCTCGGCTTGACTCAGGTCAAAAAAAGCTTGAACCTTTGTTGCTTCGAGTTTCGGCTCGTTGCTCGACTCGTTGACATGACTAGTCAAACCAAATGTGTAACGTTGAATAAAAATAATAACAACAAAAATACATAAATTATTTAGAGAATCTTCATAGTGAAGCTTTCTGCTTTCTTTTGTAAGTTAGGAATATATAATGAACAAAGATGGGAGCTCCATACTGAACACACCAGTTCAAAATGAAAGGGTGAAGACATTTAGTTAGTGTTAGTTCTTATCACTGTCTATTTCTACTTGCCATGCAATTTATCATCCCTAGTGAGTAATCTCAACATGAGCTCCAATGATTCCATCATTCCATGCCACTAAAAATGAAAAATATTAAGCCACACCCCTTCATTCTTTCCATTAATGATTCAATATCAGTAAGCTCAGAACACAAACGCAATATATTCCTAGGAGATTGAATTTCATTTCCCGAGGGCTGTTTGGGTCCCATTAAAATTATAAGGGTAATTAGCACATAATATTCCCATCTTTCATTGTTTCTGTGGAAAACATCATCATCTTTCATTTTATGGCATTTTCACCTTTCATTGCACAAAATGTCATTTTCGTTCATTTTCCCAATTTAAAATTGTAAAATGACTATTATACCATTCTCTTTAAATAAAACAAAAGGAAAAAAGAAAAATTTAATTGCAATCATAATCCCAAATTTTTTTAAAGAGCACAAATGAGTCTCAAATAAATTATTAAAAAGGTAATTAGCACATAATGTCCACACCTTTCACTATTATTGCAAAAAAGTCACTAGCTTTTATTTTTTTGGTATTTTCATCCTTAATTATACATTTGATTATGCAAATCATCACTATTCATTTTCATCCAATTTTTCAATAAAAAACTGTGAAATGACAAATATACCCTATTATTTAAATAAAAAGCTAAACAATTAATTGCAACCACAATTCCGATTTTTTAAAAAATTGCAAACGGGTCCCCAATAAATTAATAAAAAATATTATTTTTTATAAAAAAAAGTGCAAACGAGTCCCAAATAAATTATTAAATAATTAGAAATAAAAAAATTATTTTAATAGGAAGATATATTCATTATTTCATAGTTCTTTGAGGAAGGTATATTCATTATTTTAATAATTTATTTGGGACTAATTTGAGCTTTTTAAAAAAATTGGGACTATGACTGCAATTAATTTTTTCTTTTTTCCTTTTGTTTTATTTAAAGAGAATGGTATAATAGTCATTTTACGATTTTTATTTCGGAAAATGATTGAAAATGACCTTTTGCACAATAAAATGTGAAAATAATGGTGAAAATGTCAAAAAATAAAAGGTATGGACGTTTTCCACAATGATAATAAAAGGTATGGACGTTATGTGTTAATTACCCAAATTATAATCAAATTTCCCTTTTTTCTAAACAACCACACATTTTTCAATAAAATAATATTATATGTAAACCAAAAAAAAAAAATTATTTTTTAGCCACACATTCTTCTAAAAAACAATATTCAAAAAATAATAATCTCAAATAATGACAAATATTGAGGGCCAAACAGGGACAAATTGATGGGAATCCTAGTAGGAATATTACTTAATTTACTTTCCAAAGTAAATAAATGTAATTAGGGTTTTATTTAATAGTTTTTCTAGTATTTTCCTACTTAAATTAGTCTAGTTTAAACCCTAAATAAAGGGGCCTCATGCATTGTAATAGTTAAACTTGACTATTGAAGAAACTCATACTTTCTCCATAAGAAAATTCTCTGTTCTCTTCCCTTTCAAGTTTCATCTCTCCTCTTACTTTCTTCTCAATTCTCGTTATGAATTGTTTGAGGGCTTCCTATGTCAGTTTGATCAATAGTCAAGATGGATACTCAGTTAGAACAAAAGATGGTCTCCTTGGAGAATATTGCAATCTATCTCATAAGAATTGAGTTCTACCATAAAGATATGATGGGAAACCTAGCAGAGATATTATTTAATTTACTTTTTAAATTAGATACTTATTTTAGGAAACGGAATTAAAATTTTATTTAATAGATTTTCTAGTATTTTATTAGTTATTTACTTTCCAATTGGGATATTTATTTTTAGGAGTAGCAAAGGGGCTAAACCGCTGGCCGGGTCACTTCGTGTTCGGCTATGGCTCATTTTGAGATGAGTTATGGACCGAGCCAAGTTTACTTTTTCTCCGCGAGACGACTCTTTTTTAGATTAATTTATTAATTTCTTTAAAGAAATGGGTTTTATTTTTTAGCTTATTTTGTTAATTTCTTTAAAAAATTAATAAATAAAGAGCCGGCTCGGCTCGGCTCGGCTCACCTTAGCCCACGAGCCAAAGGGTCGAGCTAAGATCGCCTCATTCCTAGGGCCGAGTCAAGCTTAGATGGTCAGCTCAGCTCATTGCCACCCCTATTATTTTAAGAAACATAATTAGGATTTTAGTTAATAGGTTTTCTAGCATTTTTCTACTTAAATTAGACTAGTCGAAACTAAATAAAGAGGGTTTATGCATTATAATAGTTTGACTTTGAGATTGGATTAAGTATCTCCCTCTACATTCTCTCCCTCCTTTTCTATTTCTTCTCTCTTCCTCTTTCTTTCTCAATCTCGTTCTTATTCAACTATGTTCTACATTAATAAGACTCCAGCTAACTGTGTCCAGGGGGCTTGCCAGCGCAGTTGACACTTCGAATGAATTTTTACTACATATGTTGATTATGGAAGAGCCAACTTCGGCTGGCAAAAGCCTCCCACTAGGGGCCCCCTATGCCATAACTGAGAGAAACCCCATTCCTCTCTTTCAAGAGGATTCGCGACATGTCAAGCCCTGGAAGTTCAAGAAAATAATAATATTGAGAAAATAATTAGGGTATTTACAACACGTACATAGCAAATAGCCTCGATCTCAAGATGAAAATCTTATGTTGCAGTAACTTCAAAAGCCTTGATGATAAATTATGCAATAACTAATAAGTTGCATATGTGCTCTTGTGATTGTACAACACTCTCGAAGTCAGCTTTTACGATAACTTGAGAGAAAAGACGTGCACCAAATATAGCTATTTTCCCTACCACCAAAAAGTATGTAAACACAGCTATTATAATTGTCAGCTTAGAGCCTAACATTCCATATCAAACAGAGACCAACGTATCCCTCAAGTGTCCTTTAATCAACATGTATCAGCAAAAGTCATAAAAATTACCACAGTTGAATTCATGTAGGAGTAGGACTATCCAGCTGCCATAACATATTTCTTTTAGCATTTGAATTTGACACAAGTAGTGTGACTTGAGAAAAAGAGCACCTAGAGTTGTTGATCCCAATCAGATAAAAGTTATGAATTTATCAACACCCGCACCCTAAGAACCACAAGGGGAAAAAAGAGAGAGAGAGAGAGCAGAAGAAATATCTGAGTTATGAAAGTGATCAAAGAAGAATTCATAGAAATTAAGAAAAGGATAAAAAGGCCATAAAGTTTGGATTAAAGAACCTTCAAGCCATCATACTTCAAACTTGCTTTATGTTATTCTTCTGCAGTTCTGCTTGTCCATGTTCTCTTAACCCTTGATCTCGTTCTCACAATTTGAAAAAAAATCAGGCTTCTAATGCCAATTGTCAAGTAACTTAACATAGTGGTAGAATCATAAATTCACAGGGGTGGGAAAGAAGAGGAAAAATAATTATATAGCTGGGGAGCACAACTAAAGTTAAGTTTCATCCTTTTTGTTAAAAGTGAGCCAATAGTTTGACTAAGCACACCCTGAGTTTTTGTTCAGTCAGGAGCAGATATTTACATGAGAATGTATTGATGTCAGAACTGGCAATGACTTCAACAATATAGACAAATTTGGTACGACGGAGGGGGTTTAGAATGAAATCTTTATGAAAACCAATACATGCGGAGCTAAAATGTAGAGCACAAAAGCCGACCTGAGTAGCATCCATCTCTGCGAACTGCCACTTCAACTGGCTATATAGAAAGGAAGCTTGTGGCAAGGATCAACAGTGTAATCAAAAGCAACAAATCCCCAGTCAGAGCTGCTTCTTCCAATCCTGTTCCTTGTTGTATTCAAATCTGCTTTGCTCGTTTCGATTCTTTTCCATAGACAATGTAATCTTTCGAACTCAATCTCCTTCAGATGAATTTCAGTGACAAGGCCTTCTGCTTGAGCCTGAAATGTGGAGAAGAAAAAAAGAAAACGTAGTACACTAAATTTACACCAAATGTCAGTTTAAAGAACACAAATTGATAACACTAATACAAGAATTGCCCAAAGAAAAGCTTATTACATTATCGAAATTTAGATAAATTTATAAATTCTAACCTGCTTAGCTGCGAGTTGTTCAATTAGGCTGTGAAGCTGTTTATCCAGTGCTTTCTCTCTCTGAGCTGCAAGGAAAGGCAACAAATTTAAAGCACAAAGAATACTTGCAATCTACATTCCATAACACATAAAAGAAGAAAAATTATACCTGGAGTAAGTTGCTTCAATACATTAGCTCGAACCTGTGCCCACTTTTTCTCCAAGTCTTGAACAGTGTCTTCCATCGAAGCCTAGGAATAAACATAAGATCCATCAATTCAAATTCATTTGCATAGAAAAATGTAACTCAATTAGACATAACGAATCATCCAACCAACCAGTTCTTTTTTCTTGATCTCTGACTTCTCCAACAATGACAGTCTGGGAGCTTCTGTGTTGTCTTGAGCTTCCATGACCGATTGGGATTCAGTAAACGGTTCATTTGATTTTCCAGGCTGACTTGCAGCCCCTGCAGATTGTCTCGTTCCAGCTCAGCTATTATGTTCTCTTCAATTGAGTCCATTTCCTGGAAGACATCATCTATTAGCATATAAAATTTTAAGGATAAAGTAACCGATATAAAGGTAAATCACAATGCCAAACTGCATTGGAAACACGCTCTATAACCAATCTGGAGTTAACTAAGTTTGTTTATTTTCTATATGCTCATGCAAATGCATGGATATATGATGCGGGGAAGCCGCTCAAGCGCTAATGAACTCATGAATAATGAAATGATTTGTTTCTACACTCATATGAAGAAATAAAGAGGAATTATAAAGTAAAGCCGTGAAAATAAATTTAACAATTTCCCTTATTTTAAAAAAAAAATTGACTGTGTAATCCTTCAGATATACAAATACAAAAATCCAAAATCTGAAGGAAACAGTAGGAACAAAAAAAGAAAAAAGAAAAATCATAAGGGTCAAAATAACATTCTGCAACATATCGAATATAGATTTCTAAGCTTTTGGATGGATAAGTAGTATCTATATCCAAACTCCGAAGTGCAACATAATGGACCAGTAATGCCTATTATAGTCAAGTGCATCACAATATCGGTGAAACCATGTTTCCTCAAGGTCTTCGCCCTTTTACATAAATACGGAGAAATCTACTCCCGCTTATAAATTTGAAGAGTTCCTAACTCTGTCCTAATTCTCCCTAAATCTATTGTTTCCTTCGCCCCTGTTTGAACTTCATTCATTAAAAACTCATTTCAACCACCAAATAAAATAATTTTGCACGAAAATCCAAAATTTTTTCCTACTTTTTTGTCACGCATTCTTCGAAAAATCACTATTGCAAAATCTATTTTCCCAAAAAATGGAGCTCAAACATACCCTTCATCTTTCCATTTAGAATTTTTAATTTCTCAACGTATATAACAGTTTAATATGAATGTGTGCACCTGTGTACTTGTGATAAGCTCTAGAAGCCATTTAAACTGTTAGCAGGTAATTTCCACTCGGACTAAGAACTTCGCTTCATGTACACTGTACAGAAGAGTGGCCTTTACAATTTTCATTGCCACTGATACCAGAAAGACCAAAAGAGAAATGAGCCTTCTTCATGTGAAAGAAAATTCTCTGTCCTTAGATTTTCACAAGTCCCATACTTAGGACAGTATATCGAAATATTTCATTTTAGTATTCTGTAACGAGTGTATGTGATAATCAGGAAATGGGCATTAGCAGCTACATTTGTAGTTGCGAGTCAATTCTGGTGGTAGGTAGAATTGTGAAGTAAAAGAAAGAAACGTGTTGATTGCAAAAAAATAAATTACTACAGAATAAAGTGTGGTAAGAAAATTTCCCATAGCTCATTACATTAAGATCGCTGAGGACTTGTGAAGATGCGAACCAAAACAATTTTTCACACACAAGACCATTCTGTTCTTGGCATTTTCATGTAGCTAGTGACATAGGCAAACCACAGGTGTTCCAGCATTCTGCTCAAACAAGGAAGTGAATTTCTAATGTGAATGCTAATAGGAATCACCTGACGACAGAGAAAATATTGCGGTCATTTATAGTTTTAATTACCTGACTTTTGCATTAACCGTGATAAAGCCAAATCTACCGTCACTCTTTCTTGCCACCTAGTCATTATTGAAGGCAAAAAGTTTTTTTCTCAAAAGGCAACCCTAAAACGTGAGAAGCAAATTCTAATCTCGTGACATAGTTCATACTCATCAAATTAACCTCTATCGTCACTAAACATGCCATATTTACTTCTTTATACCTTAATTTAGTTGTTGACCATAAAATTGATGCCAAAACCACTACTACTGCTGTACTGCATATGTACACAGCTTCATCGCAGCTTTTTCCCAGTGTTGTCCTATATCAAACCAAGGGATAATTGAATAAATTTTGAGTTGCAAAACAGTTCTGATTATAATGAGAAGAAGAAAATTATTTAGTCAAATTGCAATAGTGTGACGTCCTATTGCTTAGAACATGTTGAATGTCGTCCTCACGTGTAGAGAAACTAATGGGAATATGTACATGAGTTTCAAGATTAAAGATCAACAGCAATGGCTCTCTAAGCCTCTACCTCAATGAATAGTTGTGAACTTTTATGTAATCATATCTTCATTGTTCCTGTAGAGTTCAAGTCCAGTCTTGTTCATGTTCCAGTGTCGTTCATCAAACACAGGAGCCCAGAACCAGACTAAAAGCTATTATATCAGAATTATATCAAGGTTCTAGGTTAGAAAGAAATTTGAATTGAAAGATTACAGCGACATTCTTCATAAATAGTATCTAAATTATAGTTAAATGGGCAAAAAGGAAGCATAATTTAAAAATGACATGAAATATACATCCATATTAACAAGAGTTTTTCTTCTTTTTGTCATGGTATTACTTCTATATCTCTTTTCAATAGAGCCAGTAAGTGTTGGGAATTTACTTAATCATGCACAGCGTAAATAAAACAATTTTCAATTCCCAACAAGGATCTGCTATGCGTTTCAAATAAAAACTGTGATGAAAATAATACATTCGATGAATTCTGCAAACTCTTTTGCTGATTCTCGAACTCCAATGATCATGATCTGCAATCCAAGCTATCCAATTGTCCAGCCTCCAATGGTGATCCACACAGAGAACAAGAATGGTGGCTAGGGTTTTTCTTCTTGTGCTAGCAAGAATAATATGGTAATTCACACAAAGAACAAGAGTGAAAGTTAGGGTTTTCTTTTCTTGTACTAGTAAGAATAATGAAAAAGCTCTACAATTTACAAACCCTAGTAGCCTATTAATATAAACTCAAGTGGGTTCCGTCCATCTCTAAACTTTACCCGGTCCATGAATTAATTAATCCAATTAATTAATTCGGGCCTATTAATAAGCAATCCAATTAATTTATTATTCAACACTTGTCAATTAATTAATTAATTGGTAGATCTCATTCTTCTGGTTCTCTTTTGTGTGTGACTCATTACGTTCCCGATCACGATGTCTAATGACGTGAATCATTATTTTGATCTAATCAAAATTGATAAATTAAAACACCCATTTTAATTTATCACTAATTCACATTCGTCGTCCCAATTTGGAATCTAGCAATGTGTTGGGCAATACATGTGATGAGAAATGTCACGTGATGTGACAAACCAAACTTGTTCGTTTACCGTGAAATTATAATCATTTCGTCAATATGATCCAATCAATAATGAGATATGAATGTGTCAATTTCAATTATCGATCATATA